GGCTCGGCCCCGGCCCCTCTCCGGTGCTAACCCCCCCGCCCTCCCCGGAGCCATGCGAACCTCCCCCCACTTCGGACCTAGGCTCCTGGCGCGGCAGGGGTCTGCAAACGGACGGTTACCGAGGAGCCCCCTCAAAACAGAAATGAAATAAAGGAGCGAGCGGAACCCTCCCCCACCCCCGAGCAAATTAAACAGCGACAGAAAGTAACAAATGACATTTTAATAAATTTAATAGAAAACAACCGCTGTAGAAATAAACGTCCGATACATTTACGTGCGTGAGCAAAAGGGAAGGGGAGGAGGGGGTGCAAATCGAGGCAGGACGAAGGAGATCCGTTTCTGGATCGAGGATGATTTGCCCCGGCAGCCCTGTGCGTCGTTCAAGTCTTGAGAGCCGTGGGTTGCAGGCGACCCCTGGCTCTATCTGCTCCTGTCCGGACAAAGTATCCTTTCAGCTCAAAAGCTCCATATTATATTTCAGGGGTGTCAGTTGTAGCCGTGTTGGTCTCAGGACATCGGCAGACAAGGTTGTTTGGGTGAATATATCTTTTATATTCACCCAAAGACCCTTGTCTGCCGATTGTACTTCAGGCCACTTGGGAAATGATCTGCTTGGCTATTTCAGAGTTAAAGGAATGCAAAAAGAGCAGAGCAGAATGCAACAATAAACACGAGTATAAGTCAAAATGCTTTTTTAAGTTTAATAAAGATGGGGAGGCCCTATAAAAGGTGATATAATATTAGTAACCACTGCTTTTTCTGACCCTCCCTACTGCTACATTGCATTTCTGCAACACTTGCTAACTCGGATAAATAATCCTGAAAGTCAAGTCATGTATCATTTCTGAGAATAATCTTCACATTTCAACCATAGCTAGAATCTCAGCTATCAGCATCTGCTGAAATTTTGTCCCAAGCATTTCTGCCAATGGACCTAAATCAGGTTGTCCCCCCCCCAATCTATCCTTAAACATCTACACTTAGATGTTGACACAAAAAGGAACTGCGATACAAAGCAATCTTCCATAATTTAGAACACAAGTTCCTTGTTTCAGACATAGAGAAGAGATCTGATCCTGGGTTCAGGAGTGCAACAACATCATATTTCAGATTATTTTAAATGGAGGAAAAAAATTAAGCAGAAAGTAGAGTCCTGTTTACTTGAGAAACACAAAACCAGATTAAATAGGAGGCAAAACTGTTAGCAACATAACCAGGCATCCCCTCCCAATTGAAAATCTGGTGTCAGTCTACTTCACCTGGATGCTTCAAATAAATAATACACCGAAGACAACAGGTTAAGGATAACACCAGGTTCAGATACAGTAGCAGCAAATATCCAAATACGGGTAATGGGAAGGGTTGGCTGATGGAGATCCCTCCTCAAATAGCCCGTTCCAGTTTACACCATCCCACTAAGGCCAGATTTCTCCTGGACTGGGGCAGAACGACTGCTACCCTCCCCCCTAGAGAGCAGAAGGCATCTGCTGTGGGAGCCCCCCATCCCTCCTCGCTGCTTCTACATCTGCTCCAGAAAAGGTGTCAGTTTCCACCCCCTCCCTCCACACCCGCACATTGATCTTCATATGGGAATCAACTCAAAATAACATGGTGATAAGAATTCTTGTTCCTTGCCTGTTTCCGTACTTAGGATTTGAATAAGTATGCCTACTGTGGCTTATTTGGAGGGACTTCAGACCAAAATGTAGAAGAGAGGAATTAGCAAGTCAGTTAACATATAAATAGCTCTGCTGAATGCTAACCAAGGGCTCGATTTAGGCTATTGAGCAGCAGCACTATTAAGCAGCGGGAGCAGAACTAAGCAATTAAGGCCATGTTTACATGCAAATGTCTTTTTCTATAAACAGAGGAAAAGAAACACAGAATATAGATGTCAGTTAAAATTGTTTTAAGCACCCTTGCAAAGATCCAGGAAAAAAAATTGTTCCCTTGTTAACTAAAAGTTGAATAAAACTGCTATATTTGATGACTATTGAAGCAACTGCTTGAGAGAATGGGGTGCCTGAGTGCAGCTTTCACTGTAGAAAATGAACTGTCTAAAGAAGAGCGCAAGTAGGGTGTACACGAAAGCCGGGGTAAAATTAGGGCTAGGATTAAAGAGCTCATGGAAACATTTGAGACCAGCAGCACACATGCCTTCTTGCTTCACAATTAATAGCATTTGTAGGCCAACAGGATTTTTTTCACTCTAGAATCCTCACTTGAAGTCTGTTACTGGCACAACAAATAATTTATGGCACCAAGAGAGGATGAGAGCTCCAAGCCACAGGACAATGAAGAGGCATGTGTCAGGCAACCCCACTGCAAAAGCCTCAGGCTTTTTTATTCAGCATTCAGAGTCTGAATATAAGGATTCATTTTATATTAGTCATGGATTTTTTTAAATATGGAAGCAACACCAGAAGAGCAGTCCTTACGTGTATCCAGTTGCAACGTGTATACATATGGGCTTCGTGAAAGCACATTTGTGCTCTCACACTGCTGAGCCAAAAGGGAGCAGCAATTCAAGTGATGTCAGGGGTGGAGGAAGAAGGATGTCTTCTAGTTAAACAAGTAAAGGAAATCAATCACTGACACTTGCACTCTATTCTTCACATTTGCCATGTGCAGAAACAATAGCTGAATACACTGTACTAAGACCACTCCCACCCTGAAACCCTGTTTATCCATTCACAAATGAGTGACTTTAAGATGCCTGTCGAGCATTCCAACAGATAAGAATTAAATTAAAGGTCTAAGCCAGTTTGCATATCCACAGATGTTACAGGAATACAGAACGCAAAAAATGTGTGTAACTGCTGCTTTGAGGTCTACAAGCCCTCACGGTGCATCAGAACCAAAAAACACCAGCAGTTCATGGCAGAAAATAAAAGTAAAGAAGTAGACACAAAGATCTGTGAAGACATCTCCCATTTTGCTATAGGTGTCCATGGAGCGACTAATCACTTCTGCAGGGATCCCCGACAATAAAAGAGCAGCAGTTAATACCGTAGTTTTCACTTTCTTCTCGCACTGAAAAAAAGGAACAAAACAAAAAAGTAGTGATTACTAAGGGTATGAAAAGTCATAACTTCTAAATACATTTTAAATCCAATGAGTTTCTCTGGGGACTCCCTCCTACTTTGAGTGACAAGCCAACATTTGAAGTTAACATCATTGTATGAACCGGTGACAAATGTGTGCGAATTCATGTTCTGATGGTCTCCTAATCAGCTGTCTGCAAAAAGGTTCACCAGCGCAGTTAGGCCAGGATAGACATGTTGCAAACCATCACACATCCATACTGGTTCCTTCTGTAAAGAATTGTATTTTTGCCAGTATAGCTTTAAAACATATAGATAACTTCTGGACATATATGCACGCACACACTTTTGTGGAAGGCCAGGTAGGGATGCTTCGTGTAGGCTGTTTTTGTGCATAAAATCCTATTCATTTTGTTATGGACCACGGTTTTAGTTATGTCAAGGGACCTATACCTTTGAATTGATATCCCATTGCATTTAAAACACATTTTTGTGACTGCAGTGTTCACCTATATGACATTTCAAAGTGTTCTGAATCAGAACAGTTTAGTACCACAACTACGCATTATACAAAAAGGTAAATAATTTATAAATATTAAGACAGTCATAATCATCAATGTATTTTAACAAAATAATGAAACAGAATAACCTACGTAAACAAACAAAATCAGGGCACTCTACATTAACAATTAGAGAATTTTTAACGGAAGAAGAGGAATTCAGCCATCTCCTCTCAAGATTCCCCACAGAAGCTTTACTTTCCACTAGCCCAGACACAGGCAGGCCAGCCTGAGGTTTAAAGTCTCACTGGAACATAGAGTATATAGGTAACTACCATTTGCTTTCAATTCAGAGACTCACCTCTGAAATATAAAAGGTTGAAAAACTGATTTTGAGAACCACAGAAACTAAGAGAAAAGCTCTAGCTAGCAGGCAACCTAGTGCAGGTGTTCTGAGGCCAATACCCTGGTATGCGGTCTGGTAGCTTGTGAAGACCACTATCGAATAATTACTTGAAAGTTCACTGTTTTTACTTACATATTTACTACTCTCACTTATTCTTACTTGCTACACTGACTCTACTATTCCTTTTAACATGCAAATATTCTCTTTCAGCTCTGGCTATGAAGTACTATTCTGCCCGACTTTACAAAGCAGACTGACAAAAACCATCAAGCAAGCAGCTGCTTCTTTACGATTAACCTGTGATACGATCCCATTAATATAAAGCAGGGGATATAATCTCACCATGTTGAGAAGCAGAAAGTAACAGGCATAAATAAAATCACCACATTTCAGACTTCTCCAAAACTGAGTTCAGGTCAGCAAAGGTCAAGGACCCATTTCACTGAGAGGGAAACATTCTGTTTGGTCAAGCATGACATGAACAGTGCCTATGGATGGAGCCTAAAAACAGCAACCGCAGAGAAGTACAGTGTAAATGGAAGGCAAAATCCTACCAAATCAAAGAAAAATCCAAGTAAATGCTTCCTACTGGGCTATAGCTAAATATTTAGTAAGCACAAAGATCAGAACACAAAACTCATTTTCACCCAAGACTTTTAAGAACATTTGGATTCAGGTCCTCCAAGATTAAAAGCTAGCGTATTAAGTGCCTTTCACTTCAAATAAAAGGGAGCCAAAGTCTCACACTGCGAGTGATAGCTATTGAACCTGACTCTGTTTGTAGTACACTCAAGTGCTGGGTAGTATTGTAAAGTACATTCTGTGGAAGACCTAGGCCTTCCTAACCACAAACACATTCCCCACAAAAGTCGGAAGCTGAAAGCACCCAAAATGAGTTTTGTTCGGGCACTGGGCTTACCTTTGGAAAATACTTGGACAATCCCATGTAGGCAAGTTGTAGAGTAAGAAATGGAGCAAATATTGACTGAGAAGAAAATATAAGATAATGAATTAGACAAACAGATAATTGAGGAATCACAGTAATTTGCACTTCCAAGAGAACTGACATTTATTTGTAATAAAATATTTCAGCTGCTGCACTGAAAAGCTATGGAAAATGACAGCTATGTTTATAAATACCACTGATCTAAATAGATAATGGCTAAATTAGAAGATGAATCTCTTCCTTATCAGGCCTGATCCTTCACTGAGATGGGTGCAGGGGTTCACAACACCTTAGACTGTGATTACTGCTAGAGATATAGCAATACTTTGTAAAGCCAATTATGATTCAAGAGTTGGCATTTTGTACTAGATGAGATGTAAACAGATGTTTGGAGCACTCTGGTGCTAATTAACGTTCTCAGTCTCCAGGGGCTAAGATTTGAGTTTGTATTCCTCTCAGCTGCTACACAGCATCCGCACTAAGTACATAGCGTTGATTCTGAGAGGACTACCAGCCTCAAGGAAAGCCAGCAATTCATCTGGACTGATATATCATATTCTATGTATCTAGTCATCCTTGGAGCTAAGTATATGACATGTCTAGACTGGCAACAATTAGGCTGGGTTTTGTCTGGTCACAGTGAAGCATCGTTTTCTGTAACTCACCAAATACTTGCACACGAAGGCTCGGACTCCGATGGCAAGAAGGGCGCAGCCCACGAGTCTAAAAATCCGAAAAGAATCAAACTCCTCCCCTGCATTCCCATTCTCTTGACTTGGCTTCTCACTCATCAACTGGTTCCTTAGCTTCATTGCTTCATCAAATCTCGAGATGTACTGATCTAACCCATGTCGTGGTGCTCGCTGTGCAGGTTCGGGTGGCAACTCCCCTCTGCTGCGATGCCGGAGCTCACTGGGACCCTCACCACCAAGCTCAGGAGTTTTGCTGAACAAGTCCTTTTTGTCTCCCTTGAGCTCCGCAATGCCACTTGCATGATCAGCTGTTCCTGCCAGACTACAGACAGCATCACCCAGCACAATTCGCTTTGAAACTGAGGGGACAGGGAGGGAGTTGGACTTCTCTAGTTCAAGCTGAAGTTTTGATTCAGAGAGAGTGTCATCACCTAAAGAGGATAAACAACACAATGAATACGTTACACACTGCTCAAACCAACCTCTAACCCGTTGTATTTTGGGCATCCAGGGTGATGCATCGAATATGAGTGTGAAACCACAGCTTAACAATCAATAAATATATTAAATTAAAGAATAATGAATGCCTATTCAGTAGATATGTGAGCACTGGCAGTCCCATTTTATAGCCAGAGAAGCTGAGGCCAAGGATAAGCAACTTATGCAAGGCAAGAGAAGAATTCTGTATTAGAAGTAGGGGTAGAATTCAGGAATTCCTGGCTTCTGCTGGTAAATTATACCATAACTCCAGATGAAGAACACCATAGAGCCAACCATAAAATAGGCAACCTCATCAGGAAAAATCTGTTACCTCAACAGCGTCTTCTGATATTTCTCAATTGCAACAGGAACCCAAATGGCTCCAATCCACTGTACAGCTGCTATGATACATAAGTCAATACAGTACTTTCAAACACACCAAATAAGTTATATGCTTTTAATTGTTGGGTAGCATTAGTCAAAAGTGGGGCAGATGCTTTCTTCAGTTGTTTGTATGTTATCTCAAGTGTTGAAGTAGTTGCAGTCAATCAGCTTTGAAAAAATTAAGCTCTGGGTTTGAGGGGAGAGTAAAGAAAAAGTCTTGTTAGATAGGAGCAGTTTATTCCAAGCACAGACAACTGCATAAGGACAGAATTCAGAGTAGGTCAACTGTATAAAAGGAAGAAGGAACAGACAGCCCACAGGCAGCAGAGAAGTACATCTTGGCTTGTTTCTCTCTCCAGTCAATGGCAAAACTGAAGTCTTATACCTGCAGAGAATGACCTTGTACTTGACAGAAAAAGGGAAGCCATCAGAAAAGAACACAGACACCCTAGGCATGGATACTAAAATCAGGGGGGAAATGCAGTTTAGAACAGTATATTTCAAAACAGATTGATTCATGGTTTACAGATACCCTTGAAAATTAAAATCTGAAAGCTCTTACAAGACTGCTTCTCATCACAGAATTTTCTGGAAATACAAATGATCTCTGATCAACTGCAAGTTTGCCGGGGAATTCTGTATGACAGCCATAGCCAGCAAATGACTTTAAACAATGTGTCATATCAAAGAAAAATTGCTTTTGGTATTTCAAAAGATTGCTTCAGTTAAAATTTAAAGATGAAATAAAGCAACATAACAGAAGTTGAAAAGAAAAACTGTGCACTTCATACAGCTCTGCAACAGCCATTGACATAAGAAGCTTCTTGGGGAGAAACAGCAGCAGATCTAGTTGAGAGAGAGCAAGGAACTGGGAGATGGGACCTCAGGGCTCTCCATACTCACTTCAGCTTCAAATGGCTGCTGAAGTGGGCATCCGATGGATGGGTCTACTGAGAACCAAAGAAACTAGCAATTCATCTTAAGATAAAAATTTGCAAAAGCACCAAGTATCATCTGCTGTATTTTCCAAGTAAATACCTCCCCACACCAAAAGATCAAGTTTTACTTTCTAAAGGCACATCCTTATGGATGAGGAACCGTATCACTCCCCCTGTGATCACTAGCCACATCACTACTGTACCACTATTACCACCGCTGCGATCACTACCATATCACTACTGTATCACTACCATGTCAGCATCACTGTATCACTACCCTTGTGATCGCTAACTGCATCACTACCACCGCATCACTACCCCTGTGATTACTAACCATATCACTACTGTATCACAATCACCTTACCACCCCTGTGATCACTAACTGTATCACTAACTGCATCATTACCATATCACCCTGGTGCTCGGGCCCTCTGCACGCTCCTCCCCTCTACTGCCCTGCCCCTTTCCTAGCCCGTCTGCTCTGAAGTCGTTACTTGCAATATTACAACTTGGCCCTGTTGCTCCGAGCCAGCCGCACTGCCAGCTGCCCGAAGTAACACCCGTTAAACCCGTTTGCTATTCCCGTTAAACCCGGGGGAAGGGACGGAGACATCAAACAGACAGAAGGAAGCTGAGGGACCTGCGACAATGGGTCTTCAGAAGGCCAGTCAAGACATGAGGAGGTAAAACGAGTCTACAAATAGAAAAGAAAACCGTTTATAGCGCGCAGCCCCGAATGGATGCCGACCGGCTTAGGCCCCGGCCCGGCCCCACCGCGCGCAGGAGCCGCGCCAGGGCCGGCCCTCACCCTTGGCCGCGGGGCGGTGGAAGCCCATGATCCGGTTGATCCGCTCCTCCGAGTTCAACAGCAGCTTCCTTCGCCGCAGCTCGGCCCGGCGCTGGGATGCCGACTGCCCCCCGGCCCCGCCGCCCGCGGCCGCCGCCTCCATC